AATTAAATAATCTAGGTCTTAGTGATGTTTGGTTAAATCCATGTATCTCTCAGCAAAATTTGTTATTACCATTGATAAAACAAAGAATTTTTAATCAAGGCATACAATTCCTAAGGGCCACAATGGAAAACTCTCCAAAATGTTTATTGCATAAACAAATTACATATAATAGATTTTGGAGAAACATTACAATTTTACCTCACAAAATATATACCAAAGAAATATCGCATTTGTTTAACTCGAATACGTACATCTACCCATACTTTAGCTGCAGAAATTGGAAGGTATAATAATATACCTAGAGAACGTAGATATTGTAAACAGTGTAACTCCCCCTCTGAATTAGAGGACGAATTTCATTTTTTATTGGTCTGTTCTAAATTCCAAAATCTCAGATCTCGTTTTATCAAAAGCTATTATTGGAAAAAAACATCTGTGTTTAAAGTCGTCCAGTTATTGAGTGTCCATAATATTAAAGAATTGTGTATACTAGGAAAATTCATATATGAGGCAAACAAATTAAGGGTATTATAATGGAATATGATTGTTTTCATCCTCTGTACATTGTCCATGATTTGTGTAAAAAATGTTTTGTAAAATGATGGGCCAATGGCCCAAAGTTTGAATAAAACTTGAAAACTTGACAAGTAATGTAAACTTGTGAGAATGTAGATGTTAACACAACTCACAGATATTAATCTAACCAGACCGTACCCTTAAAAGAAGTAGTGACTCATGACTATCTTTTTCATTTCAGCAAGTTTATCTTAACCAAATAAGTGTTCCAGAAATATACATACTTACTTCACTGGGTCAGTAGTTTTTTTCCAGAAGTTATATGTTTCTAAGATAAAAGTAAGGTCTTGGAAAACGGGTTAAATAAATCTGGATATCCAGGAATATTATGTATGTAGAAATTTCACGTAAACACTAACTTCATCGGGGTAAGTTTGACAGACGGACAGAGAGATTCCTTATTACCTCTGGATAGAGATTTCAAAATAACACCAAACAATACAAATGATAATTAGAGTTTCCGATTCAAAAATTGTTCGGAATATTTGGTTTAAATCATATCAGGTCACATTCACTTGCAATTTAAAATATTGAGTTCATGTCAAAGAGCAGCAACTCAATTCCGTCCGCATCAACCAGTATCACACTCTCCCACTCGTCATCAGCCAATTGGACGCGCGCACGACTTCCCAATAGAAAATCTGTTTGGTAATTGTTCTCAAGAAATGAAAATTTTACATAATCTCTGCACTGGTTTCACAAAGAAAAGGGGCGACTGGGGGCGAGACCTTCTTTAATAAATGATGACAAGTATGGGGAATATAAGATTTGTTTTATCTTCGTTTTAAATTTGTGTTTCATATCATTTTCATTGATATATTTTGCAACCAAATTATCGTGAAATCCTGTCAGGTGTGAGTCCGATTGTAGGGACTGTTAATACCAGTTTAAGCGTGAGTACAGAGCCCAACAGGATAACACCGGTATGTTGGAATAATAATTGAAAAATATACACCGAAATGTAATTCCAAAAGTATTTTAGAAAATGCAACTGATTCTGCCGAGACACCGCGGAAGGGAAATCGTGAAATGGATCAGAAAAGAAAATATGTGTTAAGCAATGCAACACATAGATTGCGTGTCGTATGCAATCACCCGCAAACTACGCACACTCGTCGATGTACCGCGATGTATCGTGTACCGCGATGTATCGTGTTTGTGGTATTGCTCACTTGTCACATTTTTCTTTACATTTTTTTTTTCTTTGGCATAGATACTTGAATACGATACATCTAATTAAAATCCCTTTTTAGTTTGCTTAATTAGGAGAAACATGAAAGAAAATTGAAAGGCATTGCTTTATGTTCCCAGTATCGCACCGCCGCCGAATCAGTTTGATAAAAACTATTGGGATTCTTAAATGTGGTTTGACGTCCCATTTTAAAATGACTACATCAGACCAAATTTACCCCTTTATCTAATGAGTTTTGCGGGAAATATAGGTATATTATACAAGTGAAACAACAGCGACTCACGTGTTCATATATTGACTAATGTAACCACATTTTATATGTGCAGAAAATCGGCCGCTTTTAATCTATGAATACCTTTGTGACTGGTCAATGTAAATAGATATCTTTTACAAGGTAAAAACTGTAAGTTTTATAATATTGATATAAATCTTTATCCTATATAAAAAATGCAATTAAGTATACGTTCGGTGTTGGCTTTCACACAGTGATTGCTGTATTAAGTGTATTTTTAAAGTAATCCTACTGTATATGTATTTGAATATTGGCTGAGGAGTTGTTATTCATGCTGTTTAACTGACGATGCGAAGCGGAGCCAATAAACGGATATTTACAACTGTACCAATCTACAATTGGGTTATCTCCAGTCTAACTCATATAAGCTAAAACATTAAAAGAAATTATCATTTTAGGTTATTATTGTGTTTTCCCCAATAGCTGAGTGATCTACCGTGGACTGGTGGCGTCAATTACATTCAAGTTGAGGCGGAATTCTATTTACGTTTCGGGATCACGCTATAGTTCGTGACGTCATCAATAATCAATTTCAGGATGTATCGATCGGGATATTGACAATCACCATTCGATCTTCATATGCAAATTATGTTACGGCCATTATGTTATTGACCAATTAAATGCAGTGTTACATCTCAAATTAGAATAATAATGTGTCTCTATCAAGAATTACTCCCAGTATAGTCCTACAGTGAACAAAGATTAAACGTGAAAGAGATTGTCAAAAAGTAAGTTTGAATAGAGATAACCGACTTAAAGTATAAAGAACAGGTTTTTAAGGTAATGCATCTTTCTACAAGAAATCTTATGACGCCTTTTTTGTGCGGGGGAGGGGGCACACAGTATAAAACCGTTATTCTGGTTGTATAAGCATTAGATCAGTTGGAGAATCACTACTGCTTTAGGTCACCATTAAAATATCTGTTTGACGTAACCCGACTAAGGATTTGAGGTTTTGGTAGGTAGGTCGGTCAAACTATGTGACGAAGGAAAAGTAACATTTAGGACTTCCCACCCTTCGTAATACACATGTTTTTCTTGTCGTATTTTCGTGTCGTCATTTCCGTATTACGTACCAGTCATTTCACCGGGTAAACAATAGTACACGTGCGTGACGATGATATGTCAACACCCGATATCGAGACTTAATTAACTTGGAAATATGTAATCACACGTACTTCAGAAATAAAGCGTATGATACAAAGACATTAATTAACTCATCGGACGACACTGACATATGATCAGACGACTTCAAGAAGGTCGTATATGAGGCGCATGGAATGCAGACTGATGTGTTTTGATTACCGACCTCACCTGTACGTATCACGTGCTAAAAGTACTACGTAGTTCACAAGCTCTTGGTCGCTACGACATTTGTTGTCGAGCGAGTTAAACGTTACGCTCCATCAGATAAATCGTTTCACAAATGCAATTACAATAACTCTGTGAACAGAGTGGTTTGTAAAATATCAAGATCCCTATAAATTGCAGGTGCATGTACGTGCACGTGATAACGGCAACCATACGATAGCCTGTGGTTACCTATGTACCTGACATGATACATCATGCGTAGGCGGGCTATGGAATGATGTCCTATGTGTACATGATTGAGAGTATTTTTTATAAAAGAACAGTAAATTGACAATTAAATATAGTAATTCAATTCATTTCCGTCGTTTTTTGTATAGTAGGGAAAAAAAGTGTCACTGTAAAAATTCTATCCCTCAGCTCTCCAAAAAGTTCCGATTTTTTTCAAGGTAGACAACTCTCATCAGGATCAAAATTATTGTAAAATGTAAATAATTTATTATAAAGACTTTGTGTATATTTGGTTCAATTTTTCACTCTTTTTGTATGAAACTATGTGTCCTGTTCGCTTTTAGCTTGTATTTAGTAACTTTCATCCATACAATTTCAATAAAAAACGCTTTTTGTAACATGTTGTAGATACTTTATGATAAAAAAATATTTGTAGGGTTGATTAGCAATGTTTCTTTTCATTATTTTATTGTTGTAATAGTTTTGAACAATGCCACACCATCAAAAATATGAAAGTGTTGAATTTGACAAAAATTCAATTTTTCGGTATTTTTTACAAAAAAAATCCCCAGTTAATCGGAATGATTAGATTTTCATAATTCATTGAATTCTGCTGGCTAATTGTGAAAGGGTGGAGCCTCCTTAACTTTACTCAACTCTCATAAGTAAAGCCGGTCAACAGAAGCAATATCTCATTTTGTTTCACGACCTTGACACTGTCGCTTAGGCACTTTTAATATCCAATTTTTAGAAACGTATGTAAAATACTTTATATATTTTCTTTCAAAATGGGGAGATTATATTGTACCTGTATTTTAACATGAAGATTAATTTCGGTAGACATTATCAATAATTAATTTGCAGTCGGGCCGTTTTTTCCTGGGTTGGTCGCGTTACACCAAACATACATCGTACATGGATTTTATTTAGGTTATATAGAAATATATATCCATGTCATGACTGTTGTTAAAGAATATGGGGTCAATGGTTCAAAGATGAATGTTACGTTTATATTTGACGTAAAATTGTATTTAAATCTTATGTATCATCTATTTATCAAAGCCTAATTTGTGACAGCCATGATTACGGAAAGTTTTGTCATACGGAATTGCAATAAAATAGTTGTAATGGATCCAGTTGTAGGGAGAGCGAGCAAAAAATATACACAAAACTTAGCAGGAGCCTTGTATTCCTTCCAATAAAACAGTTGAAGCATGCCTTAATCAGGTATAAAACGCTAATGAAACTAGAAGCCTGACTGTATAGGCAGTGGCTTCGTACCTACATTCCACTGAGCTTGGCGTTGTAGTTTATATAGAAATGTGTGTGAAATAGCCACTATCTCGTCAGCTCTTGACCAGTGTTGACAGTCACAGTGGCGAAATGTCACGAGTCCGTACGCCTGTCAACCATACCGCCTGACGTGACAGACCATTAAATGACCCAGAGCGACACCTACTGTCCAAGTTTGGTACTCACCCTCCCATCCACTGCATCGTACCACGGGACTACCAAGCGGCCATTGGTGCTTTGGAGGGTTGGATTTTTAATCAAAACAGCAAGATAATTCATTTGGAAAACAGAAAAGGTAAATATAACTCTGTTTTTATATTGACAATTGTCATCATCCTTTCTTATCGATTATCACTCTTGAAGTACAGTATCACCTGGATTATCTATCTTGATTGACATGTACTGCTCATTTAATATACATCTGTGTCTGAGTGTACTTTATGTCACAGTCAGTCTTTCTTCATTCACAAAGTTTCGTGAAAGTTATATAGGATATGTGTATGTTGTGGTATCGAAACATTGATAATCCGACACGATTACGTATTGATACTATACAAAATTGAGACCTTTAACTTAGTTAGGAATTAGTGACATTTTAACATTCAAGTGTGTCAAAACTTCGGACGGCTAATTACTAAAGCTATTGAGGTGTGCTGCAATATTTAGAACCAGTGATACCACAGGATTGTAAAACAAAATATGAACCATTAATACTATAAGATAATTGGATGTGTGAACAATCTTAGAAACCTTTGATATTGTAAGATATTTGGACAAGCTTAGAAACTTTTGATCTTATAAGATATTTGGATGTTTGGACAAGCTTAGAAACCTTTGATACTATAAGATATTTGGATGTTTGGACGACCTTAGAAACCTTTGATATTGTAAGATATTTGGATGTTTGGACAAGCTAAGAATCCATTGATATTATACCATGTGGTACCAATGCCAGTTTGTGTATCAAAAATATGAAGAATTACACGATTGTCTAGAAATCCCATATATTTGTGTTATACGCAGTTTTGGATCATTTAGCAGGGCTTGTCTGTTACTTTAATGTAGAAAGTATCTTTAAGTAACTTTTTAGTTATGCTGTAAATATATTTAATATCTACCTATACATGGGTTTACGTTTAACCTCATTCCTTCGCTACATAGATGTAGATGTCAAGGACGCGGTCATTTTTTTCCGATTTCTCGCCGCTCCGTTTCATTCATAAACTTATTGACAGCCAATTGCAAGGTTTCCAAACAGGTGTGTAAGGTGCTACAAGGCACACCTTCCCCGGTATTATATCACTGTCCTGATTGACAGTTACGGCCAGTCTGGTTTAGCGTGATATATTGACAGTTCTCTTGTCTAATGTGCTGTTACAAGTGTTCGAACAACAGTCGCACACACGGGGGCGGATACCCCCGGGGCCCGGGCTAGTAATCTAGACATAAATGGACATTTTAACACAAGAAATCGAGACGAAATACTGATTGGTCGAAGGATCAAACAACGCGTGTTGATAGCAGGCTGCCGAGGGTGACAACCACTGACATCAATCTCACTGCAGTGATAAGTGTTATTTATACCTAATGCTGTCTCACGGTAGATTACGCAGTGCTGTTTCCTACAGGAAAACAATAATTCAACGAACGTTAAAGAAAGATCATCAGGTTGTCATCACAACAACTTCGTTAATATATTTTGGCTGTATACTTCACAATGGAAGAGTAATTCCCCTGCCTATAACGTACAAAATGTAGGACACACATCAACGATGCTAAACTATTCGGCTCCCCGTGTTTGCAACGCTAGCTGTATCTTCATATTCCTTTGTAACACTTTCACATAAGCTCTAACAGTATGAAAACGAATTTCGTAACTTTTTAATGGCCAACGTAGGTCCTTTTATACTATCTTATATAACATGGAAAATCCAAGTAGCCCTAGGCTGTTCTCCACAACTAAATCATTTGAATTTGTTGCTATATTATGTAAATCCAAGTCATCGTCAAATCAAGAAAAGAAAAGAAAAGAAAAAAGAAATGCATTCGAGATCAGTCATTTTGGCGTTTTCATAACATGATTGTAATCGTCTTAAGTTGTATGATGTACTAATACTGTTTTCTTCAAATGACGAGTAAAGCACTTCATGCCAATTAAAAAAATACTCTATCTATTGGTATTTATCTGATACTCCAGGTATTGGTATAAATCTGATACTCCATGTATTGGTATATATCTGATACTCTGATACGCTATATGTAAGCATATATATATATGTTTTTCAATATTTCAAAAATAAAAATAAATCATAAGATAGTAGTTTTAATTAGTAAGTATGTAATAAACAGAATAAAACACGCCTTTTTCCATATCACACCCAGTATCAATCCTCGACCAATATCAGCCCTCGGGCCTTCGGCCCTTGGGCTGATATTGCAGTCTCGGGTTGATACTGGGTGTGATATGGAAAAAGGCATGTATAATTCTCTATTTATCTGATACTCTATGTATTGGTATATATCTGATACTCTATGTATTGGTATATATCTGATACTCTATGTATTGGTATATATCTGATACTCTATGTATTGGTATATATCTGATACTCTATGTATTGGTATATATCTGATACTCTATGTATTGGTATATATCTGATACTCTATGTATTGGTATATATCTGATACTCTATGTATTGGTATATATCTGATACTCTATGTATTGGTATATATCTGATACTCTATGTATTGGTATATATCTGATACTCTATGTATTGGTATATATCTGATACTCTATGTATTGGTATATATCTGATACTCTATGTATTGGTATATATCTGATACTCTATGTATTGGTATATATCTGATACTCTATGTATTGGTATATATCTGATACTCTATGTATTGGTATATATCTGATACTCTATGTATTAGTATATTTCTGATACTCTATGTATTGGTATATATCTAATACGCTATGCATTGGTATGTATCTGATGCTTTATGTATTGGTATATTTCTGATACTCTATGTATTGATATTTATCTGATACTCTATGTATTGGTATATTTCTGATACTCTATGTATTGGTATATATCTAATACTCTATGTATTGGTATTTATCTGATACTCTATGTATTGGTATATATCTGATACAATATGTACTGGTATATTTCTGATACCCTATGTATTGATATATTTCTGATACCCTATGTACTGGTATATTTCTGATACTCTATGTATTGGTATATATCTGATACACTATGTGTGTATTATTACATATATGATATTGGTCCATTATCGAGTTTTTTTTAGTTAGCAATGGGTTTTCGCAGCAAATGATGAAATATTTTAACTTAAATTGATGTTTTTCAAGGATTAATTATCTCGTGTATTAACTTGTTTCAGTGGTAACATAAGTTAAACTAGTTAACGCAGTAGTTGCAAAAGTGACAAAGCAAATGTAAGGGTATGAACTCCACCAGAACTACCAAATTATTGTCCTGTAATGTTGTAGCCATACTGAATTAATTACGGCTATGCACTAATAAGTGTCACTGATTGTTATCGGGAACTCTTTTTTGTGTTTATTCTTCATCAAACCAAACTGAAGACATGACAGTTTGGTAATCGTAAAGGCAACAAAGAAGGTGCAACATAGCATTGTCGTCTGTATTTGCGTCAAGCAGTTTGGAGTTGACAAGTCAAACCAGACGGTGAAATATAATTAGTGTCGAGCAGTAAATAGTAGACTCGTCAGTACATAAGTAAATGTTTGATCCGCGCCAGACAGTGAACTATTCACCTTGTTAACAGGAAGTATACGGACTTGAATTTAACCCAGTCAGACAGACATTTATTATATTTATAAAGGTAACTAGCTACTGAGAGATTGTTTGTTTTGGGTTTAAGTCTCGCAACAGTTAGGGTCACATGATACATGTTTCTACGGGTCACTAAAGTGTCATTTAGAAATTCTGTCATACTGAAATGTCACAGTAACAGCTTGGACATGGTAGCTTGTGAGCTCAGTTGTATTGTATCGACAACAGACTAGCCATAGATGTCTACGGGAAGTCATTCCAAAGGAAATTGTCAATAAGAGAGAAGAGCAAAAATTGAGGTACAAAATGTTTGATTGCGATGGGATATTACTTTCCCCAAGAGAACAAGGAAGAATATTAAGGACCTATGATGCAAGTATCCCCAATTTCGTCGCCCCATAATATCTCTCAGTGTGATGAGGAGGTTGGTCCGCCCCCAAAGGAATAGGGAGCTGCTAATATGCTTTACTTTCAAATGCTGCCCTAGTTTATTTTTTCCGCATTTTGTGTTCTTTATCCCAAATTCGATTTGTACACAAAACAACGTCGTTCCTATTGTTTTTGTTGTGGGTAAACACCATCATGGCTCTTGGAATACGACCCCCATTACTATCTCAAACTGTAACCCAACGAACAATATAATTTAAGTCAATGTATGTTCCCAGTAAACAGTCGAACCTCGTTATCTCGAAGTCGACGGGGTCGTGGAAAAACTTCGAGTCATGCGAGTATTAGAGTTATGCGGGTTCGTAAATTTGGTATTTTGCTGTTTGGACATAGCACTAGCAGTTGTTGATTTCATTAATAGCCATTGATTGTTACCAATCGATAAATGATGTTCGTAATCAATATAACAAATACAGGTATGTTATTTTACGATAAACACGCTTACAAAAATAGAATAAGTTATTTCCGAAAAACGTACTTTCGTTTAACGCGATCAAAACGGTTGGACCACATTTTGAATTCGTTAGTAAATATGGACGGGCCTAGTTATTAAATGTTGTTTTTGGCTAGTCTAGATCTTGGCAAAGTCTTTCCAGGCCTACATTTGTATTTGCAAGTTCTTCAAGTTTTACTTCTGAGTGTTAAATTTAAAAATCTCTAAACATCTCTAACCTTAAAACATAACCATAACGGTTATACATTAATGCATGCAGGTCCATAATTGAACCATTGTCAGATCAGTTTATAAATTGAAGATATCGTATATATATTACGAGATATGTATTTTGTTACTCTACTTCTCTGGTCGTTAATTGGAATTCATTGCTACTTAGTTGTTACAAGCGTTTAATATAAATGTTTGTGTCAATGGCGAGTCACGTACACTCTGAAGGGGTAACACCACTAAATCATAAACAATCTTAGCAACATCTTGTCAATACATGATCATGTCACGTAATATAAAAAAACATTTAAGAGTAAAGGTCATCATGATAATAAAATCACAAATTACATGTATACACATGTGATTGTAATAATCATTACCTTTATTGACATCAGCCACGTTCCAGAGGTCATGGTATGCACATTGATCGATACTGATCATTACTGATCGAAACTAATCATTACTGATCGATACTTATCAATACTGATCGATACTGATCGATACTGATCAATACTGATCCTTACCGATCATTACTGATCGATACTGATCAATACGGACCATAACCGATCAATACTGACCACTTCCGATCAATTCTGATCCTTACCTATCAATACTGATCGATACTGATCAATACTGTCCATTACCAATAAATAATTATCAATACTGATCAATACTGATCATTACCGATCTATACTGATCGATACTGACCATTACCGATCAATACAGATCCTTACCGATCAATGCTGATCGATACTACTGACCATTACCAATAAATAATGATCAATAATGATCAATACTGATCGATACTGATTAATATTGACTATTACCGATCAATACTGATCGATACTGACCATTACCGATCTATACTGATCGATACTGACCATTACCGATCTATACTGATCGATACTGACCATTACCGATCTATACTGTTCGATACTGATTGATACTGACCATTACCGATCTATACTGATCGATACTGACCATTACCGATCTGTACTGATCGATACTGACCATTACCGTTCTATACTGTTCGATACTGATCGATACTGACTATTACCGATCAATACTGATCGATACTGACCATTACCGATCTATACTGATCGATACTGACCATTACCGATCTATACTGATCGATACTGACCATTACCGATCTATACTGTTCGATACTGATTGATACTGACCATTACCGATCTATACTGATCGATACTGACCATTACCGATCTATACTGATCGATACTGACCATTACCGATCTGTACTGATCGATACTGACCATTACCGTTCTATACTGTTCGATACTGATCGATACTGATCATTACCGATCAATACTGATCGATACTGACCATTACCGATCTATACTGATCGATACTGACCATAACCGATCTATACTGTTCGATACTGATCGATCCTGACCATTACCGATCAATACAGATCGATACTGATAATTATGGTTGAACATAGTGTTCAATGGAATATCTTCATTTGACCAACAAAAAGCGACGTTCTAACTTCCAGTATGGGTTTTGAGCGCTGTACCTTATCATATAGGCATGAATATGTCTTGGATTTGTTCCGACAGAGTTTACGTGAAATACCGGCCAAGTATTAATTATATTTTGAAGCCAAACGTTTCAAGTTTGTAACGTTTTAAAGGGATTTATAGACTTTTTTCCATTGTCGCTGTATTCCACATATGTTTTGGAACATTTCAAGCATGTATTGTTCATTCATGATTCAAAATGGATAGAAATGACCACATGGTGCAGTTAAGTGTTTACGTTATTTGGTTTTCTGCATCTACAAAACAATGAACAAATACATTGTATTTGCATCATTTCTTGTTTTTTTTTAGTGATTATCTTGTTTAACTGAAATACTGTTTGGCATACTTCCTGATGTATGAAACACGAGTAAAATTACCTCATATTGTTCAATAAATGTATTCGTTGGTAATAAGAAACGAAAGTCTGTTAGTTTTTGATAAATTTATCTAAATATAGGAGGAATTACAGATGTAATTGCCATACACGGCGCGATTGTATATATAAGAAAAACTCAATCCGTCTTAATTTCGTTTTTTTCATAAAGTTCATGATAATGAATGAATCTGGTCACTACTTTGTTACTGAAGAGTGCTTGTCATCTGATAACTTTGTTAAAATGTCAATCTCTACCTAAGTGTCGCCGTTGATTTGGCTACTTCAATACTTACTTTTAGTAAGCTTAAAGTCAGTAACCTTATTGGTTATGTATATAACTGTCCTATAGTGGTACACAGTTTGTCACTGACTTGTGTACACGGACGTCAGTGTAACTAATGATGATGAATAAACACCACAAATACATCTAATTATTTATGTCCAGACTTTAAAAATCGACCTGTCTTCTTGTATCCGACAATAGTTGGCTAGCGATGTGATCAAGGAGAGGGGCAGTGATGTACGACAATCTCCCATGGTATGTGTAACGTCATACACTGTGTTTTACATCATATCATAGAAATTATTTGACATGTCAGTGGTTCACTAGCGGAAACACCGAACATCACCGTACAGGCTTCAGGGATCCTACCTTACAGGCACCATCTTGGTCAGCTTTTAATATCAGCGTACCGTTTTTGTAGCTAGTGTTACGGCTGTATTTTTTCAAAACTAAAATATGACAGTCATTTGCAATTATTCGGTTCTATTTGATATTTTCGTATTTTTGAATATTGGTGGCATTGTTGCTACATCGATGGCACGACGTTGCGCGTGCACACGTGCCCAAGCATTGTCTGACGTTCTACATTGTGTTTTACAGGCAGCCAGTGGCCAGCACCGTTCCAGCCTATAAGATGTTACATTTAAATAGTAAAGCGTTGGTGATTATATTAATCGGAATCATTCTTGGACAAAATCAATCAGGTGAGTACTTATTTAACTTACCTATTATTTTATATTGTGCAATAACAATATGGATTATTGTGTTAGCGATTGCCGGTAAAAACATGTTAACATTTACCTATGATGTCGCCGCTGACTTCCTGCTTTGCATTAACGCATTGGATTGGATAATTCAATTCGAAATATCAACGTACATGCTTGTAATATGTTTCACTTTTTTTTTAATCAAGCAGGATATTCACAACAATACGTTGTTAACATATCCTGAAACGTCGTATCTGTGTATATAGGCAATTAAATTATGTACATGCACCGTTTGTAATTTATACATTTACAAAATCACTTCTGAAGCATCATTCTTTCTAATACCTGTTTTTTCTCGGTTTCTGAAATCGCTTTTTGGCGATTACACAGACAATATTCAGTACGTTTTCGTGTGTCACATTGGGGATTATGAAATTGAATTGAATATTGATTGGATAATTAAAACAAAGCGAATCGATATGATATGTTATATAGCCTGACGTTGATGATATGTACTATAAAATGCAGTTATGCAAATAATTGGCGTATTCTTTCAGAGCATTTTTGATAATTGCTCAATTGTTTTAACCTCTGACGTAAACAACTAAGAACATATCTATGATCAGAGTGACGTGCATTGTCAAGATGGCGACTTGAATAATCCCAACCGCGCCAGCTGCTTCAACACCATATTTTTGTCTCTCAAAACTTTGAGAAATATTTAACAAGCATAGTCCATATAGGAAGTTGAAAGTTCAGAAATAACAATTACTGTGCTTAACATATATTCATATGCATAAAAAGCTGCATAAACAATGAATGCTATTTATTTGTTCAAAATTTAAAAAAAACCATACAGTATATATTGCTTAACATGCAAAAAGACGCTGTTTCCAATGAATTTAACATAACATTACTATTTAGAATTTTTACCGAAACTAAGCGTGGCATAACATAGATAAGCATTATGAGAATGTTATTATTGGCAGTATTTGACAAAAATGTGTTTAAGGTAAATAATATGAATTCCGGTTACATACCAACGATAAGCTATATCGCCCTGTCTAAACGCAATGGTTTTGGAGTCAAATTTTGGTGGCAATGGTTATGTAACTATGTCTAATAATAGTTATCCATGTATCACATCAGACCGTATGTGGAGGGAAGTATCATTGATGGCAGGCTGCTGAATCACCTTAACGGAATAGTTAAATACAAAACTGATTACTGTTCATCTCTTGCGTATGCTATCAATAGTATTTGAGCAAAATCCCTTTAGCATAGCATCAATGAAATTGAGCGATAATGTTCATTATTAAACGCATTTTTTTCAATAACGTCGACGTGCTTTATCAAATCTATCTTATGGAGAATGTTCATATGAGCGGTGTGTGGTGTGTTGTTTCGTTGTCACTATCCCGGTGTGTGGTGTGTTGCTCCGTTGTCACTATCCCGGTGTGTGGTGTGTTGCTCCGTTGTCACTAATCCGGTGTGTGGTAATTAGTGTTGTTTCGGTTTCACTACCCCGGTGTGTGGTGTGTTGTTTCGTTGTCACTACTCCGGTGTGTGGTGTGTTGTTTCGTTATCACTACCCCGGTGTGTGGTAATTAGCGTTGTTTCGGTGTCACTACCCCGGGGTGTGGTGTGTTGTTTCGTGGTCACTACTTCAATGTGTGGTAATTAGGGTTGTTTCGTTGTCACGACTCCGGTGTGTGGCGTGTTGCTCCGTTGTCACTATCCCGATGTGTGGTAATATTTGTTGTTTCGTTGTCATGTGGTGTGTTGTTTCGTTATCACTTCCCCGGTGTGTGATAATTAGCATTGTTTCGGTGTCACTATCCCGGTGTGTGGTAACTAGTGTTGTTTCGGTGTCACTACCCTGGTGTGGTGTAATTAGTGTTGTTCCGTTGTCACTTCCCCGGTGTGTGATAATTAGCATTGTTTCGGTGTCACTACCCCGGTGTGTGGTGTGTTGTTTCGTTGTCACTACCCCGGTGTGTTGAAATTAGTGTTATTTCGGTGTCACTACCCTGGTGTGTTGTAATTAGTGTTGTTTCGTTGTCACTTCCCCTTTGAGGTAATTAGTTTTATTTCGTTGTCACTTCCCCTTTGAGGTAATTAGTGTTGTTTCGTTGTCACTTCCCCGGTGTGTTGAAATTAGTGTTGTTTCGTTGTCACTACCACGGTGTGTGGTAAATATTGTTGTTTCGTTGTCACTACCCCGGTGTGTTGAAATAAGTGTTATTTCGGTGTCACTACCCTGGTGTGTAGTAATTAGTGTTGTTTCGTTGTCACTTCCCCTTTGAGGTAATTAGTGTTGTTTCGTTGTCACTTCCCCTTTGAGGTTATTAGTGTTGTTTTGTTGTCACTTCCCCGGTGTGTTGAAATTAGTGTTGTTTCGTTGTCACTTTCCCGGTGTGTTGTAATTAGTGTTGTTTCGTTGTCACTACCCCGGTGTGTGGTAATTAGCGTTGTTTCGTTGTCACTACCCTGTGAGGAAATTAGTGTTGTTTCGGTGTCACTACCCCTGTGTTGAAATTAGTATTGTTTCGTTGTCAGTTTTCCGGTGTGTTGTAATTAGTGTTGTTTCGTTGTCACTACCCCTGTGTGGTTATTAGTGTTGTTTCGTTGTCACTTCCCCGGTGTGTTGAAATTATTGTTGTTTCGTTGTCACTACCTTGTTGTGTTGTAATTAGTGTTGTTTCGTTGTCACTACCCCTGTGAAGTCATTAATGTTGTTTCGTTGTCACTACCCCGGTGTGCGGTAATTAGCGTTGTTTCGATGTCACTACCCTGTGAGGTAATTAGTGTTGTTTCGGTGTCACTTCCCCTGTGTTGAAATTAGTATTGTTTCGTTGTCAGTTTTCCGGTGTGTTGTAATTAGTGTTGTTTCGTTGTCACTACCCCTGTGAAGTCATTAGTGTTGTTTCGTTGTCACTACCCCGGTGTGTGGTAATTAGCGTTGTTTCGTTGTCACTACACATGTGAGGTAAGTAGTGTTGTTTCGTTGTCACTTCCCATGTGTGTTGAAATTAGTGTTGTTTCGTCGTCAGTTTCCCGGTGTGTTGTAATTAGTGTTGTTTCGTTGTCACTACCCCTGTGAAGTCATTAATGTTGTTTCGTTGTCACTACCCCGGTGTGTGGTAATTAGCGTTGTTTCGTTGTCACTACCCTGTGAGGTAATTAGTGTTGTTTCGGTGTCACTACCCCTGTGTTGAAATTAGTATTGTTTCGTTGTCAGTTTTCCGGTGTGTTGTAATTAGTGTTGTTTCGTTGTCACTTCCCCTTTGAGGTAATTAGTTTTATTTCGTTGTCACTTCCCCGGTGTGTTGAAATTATTGTTGTTTCGTTGTCACTTCCCCGTTGTGTTGTAATTAGTGTTGTTTCGTTGTCACTACCCCTGTGAAGTCATTAGTGTTGTTTCATTGTCACTACCCCGGTGTGTGGTAATTAGCGTTGTTTCGTTGTCACTACCCTGTGAGGTAATTAGTGTTGTTTCGGTGTCACTACCCCTGTGTTGAAATTAGTATTGTTTCGTTGTCAGTATCCCGGTGTGTTGTAATTAGTGTTGTTTCGTTGTCACTACCCCTGTGAGGTAATTAGTGTTGTTTCGTTGTCACTTCCCCGGTGTGTTGAAATTATTGTTGTTTCGTTGTCACTTCCCCGTTGTGTTGTAATTAGTGTTGTTTCGTTGTCACTACCCCGGTGTGTGGTGTGTTGTTTCGTTGTCACTACTCCGGTGTGTGGTAATTAGTGTTGTTTCGTTGTCACTTCCCCGGTGTGTTGAAATTAGTGTTGTATCATTGTCACTACCCCGGTGTGTTGTAATTAGTGTTGTTTCGTTGTCACTACCCCGGTGTGTTGTAATTAGTGTTGTTTCGTTGTCACTACCCCTGTGAAGTCATTAGTGTTGTTTCGTTGTCACTACCCCGGTGTGTGGTAATTAGCGTTGTTTCGTTGTCACTACCCTTGAGGTAATTAGTGTTGTTTCGGTGTCACTACCCCTGTGAGGTAATTAGCGTTGTTTCGTTGTCACTACCCCGGTGTGTGGTAATAAGTGTTGTTTCGTTGTCACTACCCCGGTGTGTGATAATTAGCGTTGTTTCGGTGTCACTACACCTGTGAGGTCATTAGCGTTGGTTCGTTGTCACTACCCCGGTATGTGATAATTAGCGTTGTTTCGGTGTCACTACACCTGTGAGGTAATTAGCGTTGGTTCGTTGTCACTACCCCGGTGTGTGATAATTAGCGTTGTTTCGTTGTCACTACCCCGGTGTGTGGTAATTAGTGTTGTTTCGTTGTCACTACCTCTGTGAGGTAATTAGCGTTGGTTCGTTGTCACTACCCCGGTTCCTGCTTGGAGTATGTGACATAACTTGCATTTGATCTAGAATAGCATGGTTAGTGTCGTCGATGGAGCAGAGGACGCTTGCATTTTCGAAACACATGGTGACATTTGAATGTTCTTGATTGTATGAGTTATGACATAAACGTAAACATTCAACTTGTGGGAATGGATGGTTATTTTTACCCAGTCTTGTAAGTTCAATATCAAATATATTGTCAAGGTGATCGGGTGGCGCAGTAGATAATGAATTCACTTTTCACTAATCGGGGTTCGAATCTGCGATCGGACTGGAAAAGCTATCATGTCACTTGCCCAACAATATTTTCCAACATTAACCCCATTGATATCCCCTGATGATTTCATGGTGTATTCATGGTGTATTAGTGGTGTGTTGGATGTACTAGTGACTTATGACGGCACGGTTTATCAGACACTCAATAACAACAACTCATAGATGCCAATCCTGGGATTAAATGACCCGGAGCCTGTAATCATGTCAAATAACAAGAACAAACACAATTTATTAGTGATATTTCCAGTCCTAAATCGATCATCTCTGCTGATTTACAGGCAAAATGTATTGCCATATTCGAGAAACATTTATACAAGAAGGTATATATAGCTGGTTTAAAATCATTTAACAGGTATGAGATTCGTTTTGTGTTGTTTAATGTTCTTAAATTCGAATTCGGAGTAAGGTGTTTCGATTTGGTAATACAAATGACGTCACATACATTGACATTTCTTATTCAAAATAGCTTACATAGACCTACAGATGAGGAGATACATGTATATCTAAAATGAACAAATTGTCTTATCTGAACCTGTATATGTTCTGCAAAATTCCAGAAAGATTTTTATTTTAACAGGAAGCGTTTATATAAATATATTTACATTTGCATGGCATTGTCACTATATAGCCTCTTTGAAAGCTGTGTCGTTGATGGGACTTTAATTACCATGCATCACGAGACACAATTATTAGCGTATTAATACAACACTGATCGGAACTACAATATTCAATATAAATAAACATGACGGCTGCTGAAATATCGCTGGGCATTGTGAGATTTGTAAATTTATATGCAAAATAAAAAATAAAATAGAAAAACACTTTTATTACAACGAAAACAAGACCAAGGTCTGCAATACATAATGTATAGTACAAAATACACATCGGTCGAAATCACCAATGCGGCAATGGAAACAATTTTAACGCTCATGCAATTTATCAGGAATATCGTCTGTTACAATGCACTGATCGACAGGGGTTCGTTACAAATGTCTGAAATACACATATTCTATAGACCTACTGACACATATGTTACATACCTACTGATATGAGTCACAACACACATAAACATTTCAGACATTTGAAACAAACCTGTGCTCCGTCGCAAGATCACTCACTTCAAACGCCATCAGTTTCACGCGTCTCGCATCCACGGTTCCTCAGTTTCTAACGACGTGTCAAATAACGAGTCTGTTATAGAATCTACCGACTGTTGTCAGGTTCCCATACAATCAACAAATAAATTCACGCCTGGATTCTTCACAAAATGAGCAAAGAGAAAGGTTCGAATTAACTTCCAAAAATAACTCCCTCGTGGAGGGCAAGGCCGGATTTACGGTGTTCACTGTATTTGTCCATGCGCGAAATTTGTTCCGGGGAAAAATCGAAACAATTTCAAATCTAACTTTCAGCTCAGAGTTCTATTAATAAACTTAAATCACCCTATCATACGCAATTGTATTGATACTGAATTGTGGAATAAAATTGAAATGTTTGTTAAAATTTCAAAGTACTACTTTGTTTGCCAATCAGCACGCGACAATACGCTGTTCAAACTATTGAACGAAATTGTGTGGACTGTCGATAAGGCGGGCATTTTTAATTTTAAATATAAATCATAAGTTAAAAAAGAACATAAGAGGCAGAGAAAACGTAAATATAAGTATTGAACTGTTTTTGTATGGTATTTATGATATATTTGAATGACACATCTTTGCAAGCAAACAATTCATAATGCGCTAGATTTTTTTTATATTAAATGATGTTTTCCCTTTTGTTTTGGAGTATCGTCAGTACCTGCTGTTGTTTACCTTTTTGACTTCTCTGGTTTTTTCCTCATGTGTTGAAACTGTGGTCCGTTGTTTTACGTGCTAATATACATAGTATAAAATGACATTACGGTTCTAAATAATGACACATAAAACTAGCCATCGCTCTCAATAGAGATTACTTATTTTTTAATTTAAGATATTCCTTTCCTGATCAATACACTATCTTATTTACTTGAAATGTTACTATTTCTGTATATAGTTGCATGAAAACAATCATATTCCATTATAATACACTTATCCTAGTAGACACAATTCTTTAATATTATGGACACTCAATAACTGAACGACTTTAAACACAGATGTTTATTATCATCAATTATAACTTAATAACCGAGGTCAATTTTCAAGTGCCTGGATTTATTTTGTAAAACCTTTGAGAGCAGGATTCAACAATAAAACGCCTTATGTTAGTTTTAACCACAACTGACATTTTCAGCACGTGATGTATTAACTGTTCGTTAAGTACAATGGATAGTTTTATACTGGAAGTTAATCTCCCGTGATAGTTACATTACTCAGCGCCGAACCCATTTTGGTTACATCACGTTTTTCCTATCACGAAGTGTACCTGAAACGGCGTTTAATGATACATATGCGCAAGGTCACACAAAGGTCAGATCGAATACTAGTATATAACATTTTATATCGTTGTTGTGTTTTTAGAAAGGAATTCAGATGAATAAAACCGTCATAATAAAGATATCTTTGTAGGAATATCTTGTATATATATAGGTCATATGTCTCCCGTGGCATATGGAATATACTACACTCGTTCAGCTAGAGCTAGGCATAGTTAATGTGAACGTCACTGCTTTACTCTGTACCATTACTTATTGAAGAACTTTTGATTTAATTCAATGCTTAAAACGACATATTTTGTTCACCAAATTATGGGATTTCCTTATGTAAACACTATGCGTCTCTGAGATAACCTTTCTTAATCATTATGGCCATAACGGTTTGTGCAGAACAGAAAGCTTTCGAAGAATGACATATATTGTTATGCAAAGTAAACAGCAAAAAATATCACGCACACATCACCTACCCTTATCCCTTGTGCATATACACATTTAATTTTGGTTCCCTCTCCTTGACGAATCTGATGACTTTGCCTGCTAGTATGTTTAATAGGCTGCCGAGGTCATACTGTATCTCCCGCTTAGGCGTAGTCGGTTCAGTCTTTACAATTCTTTTTTTTAAAACTTGAGCTCAACAAACGCCGGCCCTGTCGTCTAGCTTGAAGATTATTTCTGTCCTCACTATCTCTGAAAGACTTACATTACAACTGGTTACATGCTGAAGTTTATGTTATTTGAACATCAACTGTTTCTCCAGTGTATCATCATTAACGTTGTTACCCTCTTATCGCTTTGTGTTCTTGTACAGACATGCCTGGCATTGAAGTAAGGTGCTGTTAGGATTTGGAAACGACCGCTAGATAGACGAAGGTGTTCATAAAATAGCAATTAAATTTACTATCTTCAATTATTTTAACTTTTATATATCTATAGTTTGTTTATGTATCTTTGTTGCATTATTGTTTCTTAGTGACTGTTTATCTCCGTCATATGTTGTGATATGTAAATGTTCATTTTTCTGTCGTATAAAGGGGTGGATCGCCCTAAAAACTTGAAAAATGTCTTTGCTTTCACTGTCGTTATTACTTCTTTGCCTTATTTGCGTAATATGTATCCAACCAACATATGTTTATTCGGACCCAGTGCCAATATTGGATCATACTTTTGTTATTACTTATGAGACTTATGAGACTGATACCAGCTTAAATCACTATATTTCCAGTCATGATGGCATAACTTAGACGGTTCATTACGACCAATAACGTGTGTATTCTATCAGGATTTTTTCAGGTTGAAATGGTGTCTTTATTATATCAATAGTTCAAGTTATTGGATGCATACTATCCACTTATACTTATTCATAATCATTGCTATGTAGAATTGGCTGTTTATCTCATTTTAAAAAAGTGAAACGGCTGCAAAAATAACCCTGCTCTAAATTTCCGGTTAATTAGCGATCTTGAACAGTAACTCGTTATTTTATTTTGTTTAATTTCAGCTGCTCAGTTTGGAAATTTTCGCGATGATAACGGTGGATTTCAAGGCCGACAGAGTTTTCAGGGACTGCAAGGACTACAAGGACTACAAGGACAAGGACAAGGACTACAAGGACAAGGACAAGGACAAGGACTGCAAGGACTACAAGGACTGCAAGGACTACAAGGACTACAGGGACTACAAGGACAAGGGCAAGGACAAGGACTGCAAGGACTACAAGGACTACAAGGACAAGGACTGCAAGGACTGCAAGGACTACAAGGACAAGGACTACAAGGACTACAAGGACAAGGACTGCAAGGACTGCAAGGGCAAGGAATGCAAAGACTACAAGGACAAGGACTACAAGGACTACAAGATATACAGGGGACACAAGGGTTACAAGGACTAAATGGGAGAAGATTTGCGGGGATGAATTTTGATGGCATGCAACCAGGTGGTCAGCGAGGGCAGCTAGGCAACGGCCTTCGTTTTGGCGATGGCACCTTTGGTGGTAATGCCCTTGGTGTCGATCGATTTGGGACAGGGGGTACTGTTGGCACGACTCGATTTGCAGATGCAGAATTTGGAGGCCGCTTTGGAAATGGTGTGTCAAATACTAATACTGGCAGAAACCGTTTTGTAGGAGAAACATTTCAAGGTGGTCGAGGTACAACCAATACTTTGGGAGGAACCCGATTTGGCGGAAACGATCTCCGCCTAGCCGGTAACGGTCGCAATGGATTGAACGGACTAGAAGGAATGAGGGCGGCGACAGCACGGACAAGACTAGGCACTGGAAGGCAGGGGCAAACACTAGGTGGCACCCGTCTGGGAACTGCTGGTACCGGAATAAACGGTCTAGGAGCAACAGGTCTGGGAGGCAGATTAACAGGGGCCAACGCTGGTCTTCAAGGAGGTATTATGGATGGTGGAATCAGAGACAATACATTATTAGCACGACGCAGATTACGTGCCAATCGCCTAGGCGCTAATGTTGGTGGTGGTGCTCAGCGAACCAGTCTTCTTGGAGGTCTGGGGCAAGATGTTAATAATATGTTTGTTGATCCGATAACATTTCAGCGAGTAAGGGTATTAAACACTAATGATGCTAGCAATATAATCGCTAGAAGAACTAATAACGAGCCTGCCTCACGTCGCAGGGCGACAAACAGACTCAACATGGGTAGGACGGTGGGCAGGACGAATGATGCTAGTCGTAACCTCCGTGCCGGAGCTCCAGGTAGGCTGCTTATACAATAACGCGTATGCTACTCAAATGCTTTACAGTCTAAAAGTTATTTTTTTTGCAAAATTTATCAGTGACTTTTTAATACAATAAAAATAATGAACTGTACATGTGTATGTTATACTGAGGATTATGCTTTTATCAAAATGAAGTTTTGGTTTCGTATATAATCATTTAAGTCAAAATCACACGTTCTTTAAATGTTTTTTTAATATTTGAATTTGAATAATCATATATTTTTTCTCGTTATATTTTGATTAATTGTAGCGGCTGAAATAGCTGATATACAGGCTAAAACAAAGTCGTTTTTGATAGGAACATCCAATTATAGAAACATCGGACCAGCCAACCCGTAACTAGAGCATATATGTAGATGCATCGTTATACTACTACCAACTTACTTGCGCTCTATGCTTATCGCTTAATACCTTGTCTGCAACAATACAGGAGATAACTCGTCTATCCATTTTATTTGGTTTCTCAGGTTTTTTATGGAGATATCTAACCTTATTTTTTTCAATTCTTACTACATTTTCTTCAGCTCGCTCAGTTCAGGGAAAACTCAAATTTTGAAATTTGATGTACCCCTCTGTTGAGAACTTTGCTGAAGACTTGGTATGCATTATAGCACTTATCATATCATTTATAATATTTCATCTGATTCGGTTACATTTTCAAAAATAGAGAAACCAAGTTCATTAAAATAGACAGTAATATGCATTAATTTTTCAACAATACATATTTCAACAAATGGATTCGAAATTTAACACAGCCTTCGATCAGATTAAATTTCAAATTGACTCAGTCATCTTGCAAGATATTTCAACGTAAGCCGTTACAAATACTTAAGTCAGGATTTATGTTAACTTAACACAATAGTTATAGAGGTGAGAATTATCATTTGACAAATTAAGATGGTTTACAAGTATTTAATATGCTGTTGATGTGACGTCACTAACAAATAGACCGTAACGTGCTAATTGAACCTGTTATGCTTGAATGTTAATGCGCCGCTACGCGTATGAATGCTTACATTTATCACTATTTGATAGCTTATGTATTATAGGCTGAATGCTTCTAGTATTGGCTCTTACTATTCATACCATACTATAATCGACATGCTTTTCGTGCGTATATAACAACTAACAAATACTCATGAGAAATATTTGAAGGTCAAAGTAATGGACCCGCATGTATTTTAGTAGAAATAAATTATAATGAGTTCAGATTTAATACGCTCTACACAATAATATGATAACAAGTAATCTTAAACTAAAATGGCATTTACTGACTTGAACAACATTTTCAAATATCAATCTTTCTATGCTTCTTTTTTGTTTTTCAAAATTAATCAATTGAAGAAGAATTATTCGTCTCCGTATCTTCTACAACAATCGTTTTGTACGGTATACCGGGGAATTTTCGTTGCAGTATAATTTTCGCAAAGGTATTTTGAAATGGTTAATTCGCCCTCATTACGGCGGGCGAATTAACCATTTCAAAATACCTTTTTAAACAAAATAATACAAATAGCAAATAAATGAGTATGGCGAAATTAAAGCTGGGCGAATATGGATTTTACCGGCGAAGTTCGACAGTTTCACTGGGCGAAAATTTCTTGATTTACAGTATTTTATTGTTTTTTTATTATCTAAAAGTAGTCTTGGTAAGTATTGATACGGTCTTATCATTAATAACTTGAATTTTCAAACGAACGAATAACTACATCTTAGCAACGTTTATTCGGAACGTGCATATAAACATGAAATTTATATCGTGAATTATACAAGAATTAATGTGCTTTAACATTACCCCAATACTTATGGTCTCATTGTCATCACAACACACAGTTCGCAGAATACCTAACACAAATACACTCCGTAGACGACTTGGTACTGGTACGGCAATCTCTCCTGTAGGAACGGCAAGAGGCAGAGCAGGTAAGACATTTTTCACTTCTAAATTATCCTACTCTAACAGTCTTTTTGCTAACTTCTATGCCTATGGTGATGGATCAAAACGTTTTGTGGTCGTAGTATTAGATTTAGGTTTTATTTCAATCATATTTGATATCGGTGATGGATGCCGATAAGAACAAAAATGATTATATTTGATCCTTTTTAGGAATTTTTATGAGAGAAGACCGTAAATAATTATTACAATTTTGCACTTTTGTACTTTTTCACTACATAACATTTTCTTAAAATAGTATCAAGTGCCTTTGCCGTTCAGTCTGGTGTACCGCCGATACCATTTGGCGCAATTCCAGCACCAATCAACTCTTTTCCTGGTATGACTCGTGGCCTTCCCGTACAGAGTACACAATTTCAGGTACAGACAAACCTTCCTGGACAAACTATTGGCATTAGAGACCAATCAAGGACATTATTTGATCAGAGAAGACCAATCAATGTCAATTCTGGTGTGCTTTTACAGCGAACTGGTCTTAACGGTAGCCCTATGCAGCAAATTAATGTAAGCAATGGACCGTCTGTTACATTCTTACCGCAGGCCAGTCAAGCTAGTGGACAATCCAACACTTTCCTGTCGCAATCTGGTCTAAATTTTGTACAATCTGCTACATTTCGTCCGACAGCGTCAGGTTTTGAACAAACCGGTATATCCAATGTGCAGACTGCCAGCATACAGACCGGCATGTTTCCTGGACAGTCAAGTCCAGTGCAAACCGATACAAGGCATGGGCAGATAGGTAGTGTACGAGTGCCTGAACAGAATGCGTCTTCGAGAAATATAAGTATTTGCTTCTTTGAAATATCTATTGGCAACAGATCTGCCGGTAGAATATACATATATTTGTATGACAACGTAGTCCCGATTACTACTGCAAACTTCCGTGCTCTTTGTGTCGGAGTTAGAGGGTTTGGATACTCTGGTTCAACCTTTCATCGAGTCATTCCAGGATTCATGATACAAGGCGGAGATTTTACTGCGGGAGATGGCACGGGAGGTCGAAGTATATATGGAGTCCATTTCAGAGATGAGAATTTTGTTATGAATCACACCGCGCCCGGAGATGTGGCAATGGCAAACTCCGGACCAGACAGTAATGGATCTCAGTTCTACATAACAGTCGGGAATGCATCCCATTTGAATGGAAAACACGTCGTGTTTGGGAAAGTAATCGGCGGTATGAACGTAGTAAGGCAGATAGAAAGGGTTGGCAGTGTTCATACAGGTACCGTTGATGTATCCAACACTGTTCGTATCACCCGGAGTGGCGAGACTTTCATTAATGTACCTGTAAATTAGTCTGAAACTCAAATAGGACTGCTTCATTTGTAAATGTTCCTTGTACATGTAATGCATTTTTAGATATATATAGATAAGTTATGCATATCAGTTTCCAAAGAAACTCATATAAAACTTTGAGTTTCTCGGTTATTCAAATGAACTTGAACCTTACTCCTTAGAAATTGCACTTCGTTTGTGTTTATTGAACTATAACAAAGTTACGAGACATTCTGATTTTGAAAAATATTAAAATTGCGAAAGGTATACAAGTGTTTGTTAAGCTACCTCTTTTTCCGTTGACACATAACCTACACACAAGAGTAAAAAAAATGAACTCGTTCATTGCTTTACATCAATGGTGCTATTTCTACATCAGCTGCACCTGGTAGAATACACTTACTCATTTTGTAACCAGTTCTTGTTTAACTGCGTTTCTGGCTGTGGTGTTTTAGATGGGTGGTCTGTATATTAGTTCGCTTTGCCAAGCTTTTACTTTCCTATATCTATAGTATTCGTGTATGTTACTTGTTATGAGCGATTTTTTAGTTTGATTTTCTAAAGAAAGGACGACATAACGAACCAAATGAATCGATGACAGCAATTTAATTAAATAAATGATGAATTCATAGAAATAAATAACCGTACAATTTTCTCATATACGGTGTTATGCGACGTAATTAAATAAGCTTTAATTTTGGTTATTGTGTAAAAGGACAACAAATTCTTCAGTTTGCTAAAGTATTTCAGAGGTATATATATACATATTTGTCTTATTGAAAAAAAATACATGTTCATGCTTTGATTGAATTTTTCCAGTGGCCAAACAAAGCAATAAATGTAATGACATAATTACCACGTCATAATTTAATATGTCGGTAATTACGTTTCCGTGATCGCAGTAAACTGTAGTGTTAGTGCGTTTGACTAAAATACCACGATTGCATGCTATTTTTTGTTTATATTTATTTCACTGTTTGTAAATGAACGCTAATATATCGTCATATTTTATTCTCTTAAAATAGCATCCGGTATGTTTCCTGTAAGGCCTGGTGTTTCAAATGCGCAATCCAGTGCATTTATTTTTCAAAATGGCGTTCCCGTTACAGCACGGACTGGTTCTTTTCCCATTCAAAATAGAGCTTTTCCAAATGGGAATGGAGTTTTTCTTGGCCAAAACATTGGTTTCCCTGGTCGGATTGGTATGGTTCCTATTCGGAATGTATTTCGTAGACTTCAGAATGGAGGATCCCCTTTTCCAACTGTTGCGTTTACCGGTCAAAATGGAGCGCTTGTTGTTCGAAACGGTGCAGTTCCTGTTCAGAATCGAATCTTTCCTGTTCCGAGTCCTGTTATTCCTATAGGCACAGATCTATTACGAAGTCCGACAACAGGACCATTCCAACCGATTGGCACTATTAGAGGACAAGCAGGAACAATGTTCAGACAGACTAGTCCTGTCAGAGGTCAGATGGGATCGAATAGTGGTCGAGGTGATATAATGTTTGGGCAGCCTATCACAGAGAGCATAGGCCATACCACAGCAAACAACGGACAAAGTCAAATATTTTCTTCTCAGGCCAGCACTCTTCAAGGTTTGCCTGGAGCATTTTCGGGTCAAAGTGGAGTTAATAATGTACAGAGTCAAGTATTTCCTAGTCAGATAGGTACATTTCCAGGCTTAGACAGTGCCCTTCCTCGTCAGTTTGAAACAACCGATAGTTGGTTAGGAACACACGAACAATCTAGTAGTAACGGGATACAAACTGGTAGCTCGCCTGTCCAAACTAATTCCGTACCAACGCAAAGTCCCGCTAATCATTTCACAAATAGAAGTCTTTGCTATTTTAACATATCAATTGGTGGTAAACACGTTGGACAAATATTAATCTATTTGTTTGATGACGTTGTCCCTATCACCACAGCGAATTTCCGTGCTCTTTGTACTGGTGAAAAGGGTTATGGATATGCTGGTTCAACATTTCACCGGGTCATTCCTGGGTTTATGATACAAGGTGGCGATTTTACGACTGGTGATGGCACAGGAGGGTACAGTATATATGGAGGTCTATTCAAAGACGAAAACTTTATACTGAAGCACTCTAAGGCTGGAGTAGTGGCTATGGCGAACTCTGGGCCGGATACTAACGGATCCCAATTCGCAATTACAATGGACGAGGCATCCTACCTAGATGGCAAGCATGTTGTTTTCGGAGAAGTCGTTCAAGGCATGGACGTCGCAAGGATGATTGAGAGTGTCGGAAGTGCGGAAGGGGATGTTGATCTCGCCAACAGGGTAGTCATCACACAGAGTGGCGAGGCCTACATTGGCACACAGTCCTCATCTATCAGTCAGTAGGATTTGAAATGTAGACATAGAAATACTGATGAAGAGGAATGGATAAATACGATTTCTAAACGAAATGAGCAATAAGAACATTCTAGATATGTGATTTATAACCAGTCTTCACTTTCAATACAAGGAAATGTGACCAAAAAAAATGAAAATTGAATTTGAATAAAATTTAATCATTTCAACGTTATAGTATACTTTTTGTATTTAAAATTTGGGGTAGGAAAAATGCGACATCATAGGAATCTGTGGTGAAGTTGGTCTAACAAAGAAACCTGTTCAGCAGAACGTTTCCATTCCTAAGATATTACTCTTTGTTTGGAACAACTTTTACTATCATATCGATTTAGTCTTTAGTATAATTATCGTATACATATTATATAGTTAATCGTTCTAAAATTGAAAACCGATATTAACGTTTAAAACAATAATAACATTCCTGACTATGTCTTCAGTGGAGATTTTATTAAAACAATTTTACGAAAACCATCTAAATACATACACAGCGTTGCCAGTGAGGATACAATATAAGAGAACGAATTCGTGTTAACACCAAATGTTTACCTATCTATTATATATATGCCACTGCGTGCCATTGTAAAGTAGCTGCAAGTTTGTCATCTATAAGGAAACCGACAGCTAATCGGTCAGACTTTTACAGAAAATAATGTTTTGTGAGACATTCTTGAGCAATTCTTGCTATGACCAACGTATTTGAATGTTTAAAATATATAAAAAGTTTCTTGTTTGAAGAGAAGGCATACAGTGTAAGGTAAATATTTTGAATATCAATAATTTCATTTAATAGTTGCTATATTACGTGTTTAGAAAAAACACCAGTAATCGATGTTAATGGGATGTGTCGTATCGCGCTACTAGGTCATCTATTGCTATGACCATACAATGAGAGCTGACTCATGGAAGACTGTCACTACATACATTACTGTAGCAGGTGGTATGTGTCAATGTCATAGTATCCTTGTAGGGCTGTTAAGCCTTACAAGTTATTTTAAAAAGTATTGACAAAAACTTAAATTTCATTAATCATTTGTCTCCTTACATGACCCACACAATGTATAACGTCTTATTACAACTGTTTATTGCAATACTTCGCTGTCTTAAATGTTGTTAGTATGATTAAATCGGGTTACACGGGTATCATAATTATATTAGTTTCTTTAAATTTGAGCTGTCCTAAGTTTTGAACAAATTTGTCAAAAAGTTGAATTCCACATGTACACTTACAGGCACTGCATGCCATGGCTTAAATAATTAATTTTGGTTTTGGTTTTGTCTTTACGAGCTCTTTAAAGCGCACAAATGGGTGAAAATATATTG